ACCCTGTGGTGCAGTTCCACTCTGTCCTCTAGGGGCGCTGTGGGTCAGAATGGACTCCACGGCAGTGGGTGTGGTTTGGGCTTTACTTCTGTGAAGACCGACAGCCTAGGAGACCCTGTGGTGCAGTTCGACTCTGTCCTCTAGGGGCGCTGGGGGTTCAGAATCAACTTGATGGCAATGCGTTTGGTTTTTTTGGTTTAGACACTTTATGCAGGTGGAATCATGCAATATTTGGCTTTTTACTGCCTATTTTCAGTTTATATAATGTCTTTAAGGTTCATACATTGTATCAGAACTCCATCCTCTTTTTATGGCTGAATAATATTCCACTATATGAATACATCACATTTTGTCTGTCCATTCATCTGTCTGTGGCCAGTTGGGTTGTTTCTGCCTCTTGGTTACTGGAATAATGCAACAATGAAAGTTAGTGTACAAGTACCTGCTTGAGTCCCTGCTTTCAATTCTCTGGTGCACACCTCGGAGTGGAATCACAGGGCCCTGTGGTGACTCTATGTTTACTTTAGAGGAACTGCAAAACTACTTTCCGCGACAGCTGCACCATTTCACATTCCCACCAGTAATGCACGAGTGTTCAAATCTCTGTACGTCCTCACCAACACTTGGTACTTTCTGTTTCTCTGATAACAGCTGTGCTAGTGGGTGTGATGTGGTGTCTCACTGGAGTTGAAATCTGCATTTCCCTAAAGACTAATGCAAAGATGTCTCCTTGGAGACTAAGATGCGCCAAACTCAAGCCATGGTATTTCCAATCACCTCAAATGCATGAGAGCTGGACAATGAATAAGGAGGACCGAAGTTGACGCTTTTGAGTTGTGGTGTTGGTAAAGAATGCTGAAAGTACCATGGACTTCCAGAAGGACCAACAAATCTGTCCTGGAAGAAGTGCAGCTGGAATGCTCCTTGGGAGCGAGAATGGCCAGAGTTCGTCTCACCTACTTTGGTCATGTTGTCAGAAGGGACCATTCCCTGGAGAAGGATCTCATGCTTGGTGAAATGGAGGGTCAATGAAAGAGGGGAAGGCCCTCAACAACAGTGACTGACACAGTGGCTGCGATGACGGGTTCAGGTGTAGCAGGGGTCGTGAGGCTGGCGCGGGACCGAGTGGGCAGTGTTTCGTTCTCTTGGGCACGGGGCCACTATGGATTGGAGCTGACTCGACAGCACCTAACAACAACAACAGACTAACGAGGAGTCCCTGGGTGGGGCAAACGGTTAAAGGCTTGACTACTAGCTGAAAGACTGGGGCTCAAACTCACCCAGAGGTCCTCAGAACGCAAGTCGGGTACCTGCTTCTGAAAAGTCACAGCCTTCCAAACCCTGTGCAGCACTTCTACTCTGTACACCCAGGGTCATGCATCAGAATCCACTGAACGGCAACTAATGATGACTAGTGATGCTGGGTGCCTTCTCACGTGCTCATTGGCCATTTTCATACTTACTTTGGAGAGATGTCTATTCAAGTCTTTTGCTCTTTTTTTGTAGGGCCCACTGTCTTTCTGTTAACTTGTGAGAGTTTATTATATATTCTGGATATTAAAGCCTTATCAGCCACATGACTTGCAACTATTCCCCCCACTCTAGATGGTGGTGTGTTTCCTGATAATGTCGTTTGATGTATAAAATCCTTTAATTTTTATAAAGTCCAATTTATCTGTTTTTTGCTTTGTTGCTTGTGCTTTTGGTGTTGCAGCTCAGAAGCACTGCTGAATTCAAGGTCATGGAGAACACCTGTTTTCTTCTAAGAGCTTTAGATACTTCATTACTGATCCATTTAGTGTTCATTTTTGTATATGGTGTGAGGTATGGGCCCAACTCCATTATTTTCCTGGAAGACACAGTTGCTCAAGTTAGTTGAAGAGACCATATTTCCCCCGTGAATGGACTTGATGCCTGGTCAGAAATCCATTGGCCATATGTGTGTGGGTTTATTTCTGGACTCTCAACTCTTTCCCATTGGTCTGTATGTTTATCTTTATGCCAGTGCCAAGGCATATGCCTGTGGGACTACTGTTAACTTTGAAGATACTAAGGTTTGAACTTGGGATGTGTGACTGGCCAAATTTTGGTTTTTTTTTTTTTTTTTTTTTGGAGACCATTTTAGCTATTGGGGTTCATGTACTTCCACATGAACTATAGGGCAGGCTTTTCCATATCTGTAAATAGGGCTGCTGGAACTTTGACAGGGATTATGTTGAATATCTGGATGGTATTAACATCTTGGCAATATTAAGTCTCTCAATCCATGAACCCAGGATGACTTTCATTTAGATCTGATTTTTAGCAATGTTTGGTAATTCCTAATGAACTTCCTTGACTAAGTTCCTAGGATTTGATTCTTTCACATGTGAATGAAAATTATTTGTCTTCATTTCCTTTTTAGATGGTTTCTTGCTAATGTGTAAAAACACAACTGGTTTGTATGTGTTGACTTGTACTCTGAACTCACTCACCCGCTCTAGTAGCTTTCTTAAGGAGATCAGGTGGTATAGTGATTAAGGCATTTGGCTCCTAACCAAAACGTCAGTGGTTCGAACCTTCCAGCCATTCTGCAGAAGATGAGGCAGTCTAAGATTTACAACCCTGAAAACGCAATGGGGGTTGCCATGAGTCTGAACCGACATGATGGCAGTGAGTTTAGTTCTTGGTTTAGTAGCTTTCCTGTGAATTCTTTGAAATTTTCTCTAGAGAGGGTCATATCTTCTGTGAGTAGACAGTTCTACTGCTTCCTTCTGAACGTGGATGTTTCTCACTTCTTTCTTCCTGGGTGCTCTCACTAGAACGCTGAGCAGCAGTACTGAGAGTGGGCATCCTGGCCTTGTTCCTGGGCTTAAGGAAAATGTTTTCAGTGTTCCCGTGAGGGTGACGGGAGCTGTTGGTTTTCTGTAGATGTTCTTTATTGTGTGGAAGAAGTTCCCTTCTAGTCCAAGTTCTTGGAGTGTGTTTATCATGACACAGTGCTGAACTTTGTCAAATCTTTTCTGCATCAATTGAAATGACCATGCAGTTCTTCTCCTTTGTTCTATTATGTGGCATACTTCATTGACTGAATGTCTTATGTTGACCCAGCCCTGAATTTATGGGATAAAGCCCCCTTGGCCACAGTGTATAATCCTCTTAATACACTGTTAGATCCAGTTTATTATTTTCTAACTATGTACATGGGATATTCATGTGTAATTTTCTTATGTCTTTATATGACTTTGCTATCAGGGTAATACTAATCTCACAGACTGAGTTAGGCAATACTCTTGCCTTTTCTGTTCTATAAGGGGCTCTGGTGGTGTAGTGGTTAAGACATTTGGCTGCTAACCAAAAGATTAGCTGTTTGAACCCACCAGCCACTCCACAGAGGAAAGATAAGGCAGTCTGCTTCTGTAAAGATTTACTGCCTTGGAAACCCAATGCGGATCACTATGAGTCTGAATCGACTGGATGGTAGCAAGGCTGGCTTTTTTGTTTGTTTTTCCCTCCTCTGTTCTATGGAAGAGTTTGAGAAGGGCTGCTGTTAATGCCTCTTTAAATATGTGGTAAAATTCACCAGTAAAGTCACCTATCCTGGCTGTTTCTTGGTTGGGAGGTGTTTGATTACTGATTCACTCCATCTGGCAAACAACAACAACAACAACTCTTTACAGATCTGGTCAGATATCTATTGCTTCTTGAGTCCATTCAGGTAGCTTCCATTTCTAGGAATTTGCCAGGTTCATCTAGGTTACCTAATCTGTTCAAAGTATTCTCTTCTAATCCTTTTTATTTCTGTAGGGTTGTAATGTCCTCATTTTAATTTATTATTTTAGTTATCAGCCTCTTTTTTACTTTGTAGGTTGAGCTAAAGTTTGGCAATTTCATTGATCTTGTTATGCACCAGGATTTCACCTGCCCTAAGTTTTATTCTTTGCTCCTTCTGATACTTTGGGTTTGTTTGCTATACTTCCTCAGGGTATAAAGTGCGGTTATCAATGCAATCTCTCCCTCTGAATGTAATATTCGCAGCTGTCCACGCCCCTCTGAGCACTGCTGTTGCTGCATCCCATCAGTTTCTGTATGCCGTGTTTTCATTGTCTTTTGTCTCTACGTTTTCTCGTCTCCCTTGAGCCATATTCTTTAACTGATTCTTCCCTGTTTAATAGTGTGTTCTTTAATGTCTACGTACTTATTTTTTCCAGTTTCATTTCATTTCCAGTTTCATTCCAGTGTGTCAGAGAAGATACTTTGTATCATTTCAATATTTTGAAATTTATTGAGCTTTTGTTAGTGGCTTACCATATGGTCTATCCTGAGAATGATCTGTGTGCACTTGAGGGTGCATTTTGTGCTGCTTCTGGGTGAAGTGTTCTATAAACGCAGTAGGCCTACTCAGTCCGCGTTATCCTCCACAGACGTGGTAGGCCCACTCAGTCTGCGTCATCTCCATAGACGCGGTAGGTCTACTCAGTCTGTGGTGTTCTTCAGGTCTTCCCGCTCCTTATTAACCTTCTCTAGATTTCCTGTGCATTACTTAAAGTGAGGTACTGAAGTCTCCAACTTCTACTGTGGAAGTGACTATTCCTCCCTTCAATTCTGTCAGTTTATTTCATCTATTTTGGGGCTCTGTTGTTAAGTGTAAGG